ATATAGCCCACACAATCCATGTCCGTAGCCTATCATACCGAGAACATGTCCATGCAGTGCTGCATCCAATAGGCCGGCAAGTTACACAGCGGCGCATCGTCAGCAGTCTTGCCCTCCTGAGCCAGTTTAGTCCACTGATACAGCTGTGACGTCAATAAGAGGCCCATAGTCGCCACGTCGGAGTGTATGCGTATCTGTGGCTGTTGGGGATAGAGTTGGGGATAGAGTTGGTGTTATTCTGCATGAATGTCCTTACTACAGTGAAAGCGTCGCACCTATGCGGAGAAGACTATCAGACGAGCGCACTTAAACATCTGGCTCAATATATAGGAGCACATCCGGCGCGTGCTCAACTCAACTCCGGATTTCTCGAGCAGAAACATACCGCACTGTCGTCAGGAGGAACCAATACACCCATGTAGCGTGTGCGCGTGTGAAACACTTCTCGATAGACCGCCTCGAGTTTGCACATCCACTCATTGCTGTTGCGGCCAAAGTGCAGCACAATACTCGGCGTCACACACTCAGCCGCCCACCTGCCCCGCGGCACAGTGTGTGCAGTTGGCCTTGTGCCAGACTGTGTATCGGTGGGTGCGTTGTCTGTGGGTAAGGTAATCAGTTGTAGGTCGGTGTCGGTGTCTGCATGCACGTCCATCGCAGTGCTGGGGCTGGGGCTGTCCTCTTGTTTAGAGCCTGAGAGTTCAGCAGGCGCTACTACCACTGCTGTATGGGATGTATCGGTTAGGAGTAACTGGGTGGAGTAACGGTCCGTCGGTAGTGGGGCAACGCCCTTAAAGGTGCTGTACGCAACATCGCGAATGGATTTGACCATCCGGCACATAATAGACCCGTCCCTGGCAATAAAGCGAGCCATGGGTTAATTTAGACATAGTCCGAAGGAAAGTAGCACGGATCCATCAGCAGGAAACAGGATAGAACCAAACACAAGCAGATGTGAGGAGTGGCTAACGAGGGGATGCGATTGAGAGGCGTGAGGTTGTATCAGAGTACGGGCGTGTACAAAAGTAATGTAGACTCGAAAAAGTAGAGAAGAAATGTGCATCTGGCAGCGAAGGGAGCAGCGTGTACCATGAAATAGCACCGGGGCTCGACTATCCGCACTTGCTTTCTATCAATAAAATGATACTTCGGGGCGTATTTAAATGGAAAACGTACACGACTTGTACGATACCAAACACTACGCAATACATCTGTATAGTTTGCGCAGTTAGATCAAAATCTTCATGATCCAAACACACAATGTTGCCTCACATCACGGACACTACTTACGCAGCAAAACTTATAATATATATCGAAACGCAGCACTGCACTTGTTACGCAGAAGTTGAAGTGTATATATCCACACACATCCACGTGCATACATCGGCTACCGTACCCAGCTCACAGGCACACACATGTGGCAAACTCTCACAGGGCATGTGAACACATCCCTACATGCGTGTGGTCTGTACCACATGCGTGTGATATCCATTCCTACGCTATTGGGATGCACTCCACCTACCTAGCATACACACGCCCACATACTGCTAATCTCTAACCCTACATACTTATGATATATAGCTCGCTGGCAGTCCGTATGCCACTCGGGGTGCCGTTTGGCTTCCATCTTCATGCACATCAGCACCAGTTTCTGCAAGTGCCTTACCTCCTCTATGTTATCCAGGAACACGGCCTGTTTCTGCAACCGTCCAGCGTCGTTTTCATACGGAAAGTAGAAGCCGGCCAAGAGAAACGCTGATTTCAGCGTCTTATAGTAGGCAGCGCTCCCCATCCGCAAGCCTCCGTACCGACGCACTGTGTTGCATATCACAATGAACTCGTTCTCGGCCCAGGTGAACACCTGTACACAACAGACCATGTCGATTGATGAGAAAGTTTCGTTTGTAGGTACAGTTATGCGCATACGGCGCTATTCATGATGATCGTATCACAGACGGGCTTTAAAAGGCACAGCGAGAAGACTCTGGTCGGTTCTAAAAATAGAACCCTCCTGGTTCGACCAATATTCCGCAAGTGTATCGTTGATACGCACAGATACAGCAATATGAATATGA